GACATGTGCTGCGCGCAAGTGCTGGATGTCTGATCTATTCCTTCTATAGTCCACTATAAGCTCTTTGGTCTTATTGGTGTTAAGGACCAATTTATTGTCTCCACACCATGAAAGCAACCGGTCTACCTCATCAACAAACTTTTTTATAAAACGTTACAGTTAAAAAAATAAGAACCAATACAAACTGAAAAAGAATATAAAAATAGAAAAGAAAAGAAGGGAAAAAATAGGAAAGGAAAGAAAGGAAAACGAATATAATAAATAAAAATAAAAGAAATATATAAAGAAATGACTTGCCCCTTCATAACAACAAGTATAAACAATTTTAGTAACATATCACCTTCTCTTAAAATACAACACATAATTTCTTCTTCCTATATCTCATCTCATGTATATAAACATATCCTTAAAGCTTGACATTCAAACCTGGTCAACAAAAGTCCATTAAGGGTTACCAGAGATAATAACAACAATATCTTAAGAAGGCAAGAAATATCTAAATATTGTGATATTATAAACTATATAAGTTTATTCCAATCTTTGAAAAATGAAAAATATAAACAATCTACTACTTACTGCAAGTTATTATGATCACCACCAAAACTTATCAATTTCTGCCTTACACATATCTGCAGGCCAGATATGATGGTGGCCTCAAAAATGCATAAGAATGGTGGTCTCATCCTTCATACCTCCAATATAAGAGCAATCCACTCATCTGCACTGCCACTTTGACAGAACAAAGCTTAGAACTAAAGACATGATATTAGTACACAAGCATGAAATGTGGAGGAACGCATGTGGGTCTATTCCAGGGGTGAAATCCAGAAGGTTCTGACAGGTTCAGGAGAACCGTAGCGGAAATGTTGAGTAGTTTGGAGAACCGGTGGCAGAAATTTTGAGTAGTTCAGAGAACTGGCAAATACCACCTCTGGTTGGTCCCAGAGTGGGGTGGGAATGGAGATTTTGCAATATCCTTCCCCCAGGAGTGGGGAGAGAATGGGGATTTTGCAGTAGCCTTGCCCTGCCATTCCCACCAAGCCACGCCCACCAAGCCACGCCCACAGCACTGGTAGTTAAAAAAACTGAATTTTACCACTGGTCTATTCCCCTACATACTTGGATACATTTTTTGATTCAGGCCATGGTCTAGAACCGTGATGGTGAACCTATGGCACACGTGCCACAGGTGGCACGCGGAGCCATATCAGTGGGCATGCCAGCTCAGCTCTGGGGCGCATGCGTGCACCGGCCAGCTGTTTTTCGGGCCTTCTGGGCCCACCAGAAGTAGGGAAACAGGCTGTTTCCTGCCTCTGGAGGGCCTGGGGGCGGGGTGGGGAAGGCCCCTTTTTCTTTCTTACCTGGCTCCAGATCCTCTCTGTGTATCTGGGAAGGGCAAAAACAGCCTTTCCCACTCCCTTGGAGGCCCTACGGAGGCTGAAAGGGCCCATTTCCCGATTCCCGGTGGGACAGGAAATGATATTTTTTCCTGTCCCCAGCCTCCAGAGGCTCCTAGAGAGGCTCCTAGAGGCTCCTAGAGAGGCTCCTAGAGAGGTTCTGGAGGCTGGGGACAGCAAAAAATGCCACTTCCTGTCCTACCGAGAGTTGGGAAATGGGCCCTTTCAGCCTCCGTAGGGCCTCCAAGGGAGTGGGAAAGGCTGTTTTCGCCCTTCCCAGATACACAGAGAGGATCTGGAACCAGGTAAGAAAGAAAAACGGGCCTACCAGGCCATCATGTGCCAGGAGCGAGGGGGGAGGGGGTTGCGCACCCATGTGCATGGGCATGTGTGCGCGCGACCCTCCCCTGCCCCCCCTCTCCTGGCACGCAATGGCAAAAAGGTTAGCCATCACTGGTCTAGAAGAATTATATAAATATCTCCAATTATTTTCTCACTTGAATTATGCTCACCAATCATTGTAAGAATGCCAGAATAGAAAGTAAGGAAACATTCCTCATTTCTCCCTGCTACTTAAACATCAGTTTTATTAATGACAATTAAACCAAAAGAACTGTTTAAGAGTTCTTTGTCTTTCTTAGAATTATGATTTTAGAAAGAAAATGTAAGCCTTAAATTTCTTTGTAGCTGCACAAAGACAAGAACAATGGAGGAGGAGGAGGAGGAGGGGAAAATCTATCACTGAAGGAACAGTTTTCAAATGCAACAGATCAGTGGTGGGTTTCAAAATTTTGTACTACTGGTTCTATGGGCATGGCTTGGTGGTAAAATCTCCATTCCCACCCCAATCCAGGGGAAGGTTACTGCAAAATCCCCATTTCCTCCTGATCAGCTGGGACTCAGGAGGCAGAGAATAGAAGGGAGCGGGGCCAATCAGAATTTTTACTACCGGTTCTCCAAACTACTCATAATTTCCACTTCCAGTTCTTCAGAACTGGTCAGAACCTGCTGAAACCCACCTCTGCAACAGATGGAGAGAGCAGTGTTTATACTATATTTCTTATTGGCAGCTGAAAGTTTAAGCACAAAATAAAACAAAAATGGCCTGGTTCCAAAAAGTAAACAACAAAGACACAAAACTCACTTAAATTAGGTGTAGATAATTTGGATTATAGGATGTAGCCAGGCTATTTATATCATCTTTTTTCTTGTGCTATTCACACAGTTGGGAACAAGTCCTAAACATACATAAACTTTTAAAGGTTTGTTAGATTACAGCTGAATCTAAACACTGTTGACATTTCCACATCTGAATACAGAAGCTATCAATTTTATGACATTCAGAGCTTTTACATAGAGTGACGTCCATAAACAGAACAAAATAGAGGAAAATTGTAACCAAGACTCAGAGAACAAAGCTATGGAATTAAATGAGCAAAATATAAAAATAAAACAATATAAAGGAAGTGCGTGTAACTATATTCTGAGAGTAGCGAAAGTTGTAGGAAAAAAGAACACATTTGCCAAAGTTACTTATCAATAAAGAAAAAATACTCAAAAGCCTGTCATGAGAATTTAGGTATACAGTAAAGTGAAAAAAAAAAGTTGTTTATGTGCTTTCTTTTTTGCATTTGGAAATATGAATGGTGCAATCCTGTGTCAGTCTACTTTTAATGCTTTGTGGCTATCAAGCATACTCACAAGAAAATATGGTATATGCCTGGTTGCAGCAGATACGATGTCTCACATATGTGAACAAAATGCCCCATATGCTGCTTAAAGTATGTGTTGGTGGAATGTGTTAATTTAGTGTAATGGTATGTTTCAATGACCTTGGGGAGACAGGGAAAAGAGACACAGTCAGGGGAATGATCAGGTAAAAGGCAACTTAGCAAAGCAGGAATGGGACTGGAACAAGCAGTTCAGAAGGGACCCTCCCTAATTTCTTGAGTTGTAAAGGGAGAGAAAGACTTGCAATACTCTGCTAATGTAACTTTATAGTTGAGTAAAATTAGCTTGCTCTAATGCTTCCTGTCTGGTCTACCTCACAAGTCTGATATTTAGCAACTGATGCATTCCTAATAACGTATTGGTGAAACATCTGTACAGGTAACCAATAGTGGATCACTCTTCTATGGCAAAAGAATAGAATAGAATAGAATGGAGTGGAGTGGAGTGGAGTGGAGTGGAGTGGCAGAGAAAAGAGAGGCGAGGCGAGGCAAGGCGAGGCGAGGAGAGGCGAGGCGAGGCGAGGCGAGGAGAAGAGAAGAGAAGAGAAGAGAAGAGAAGAGAAGAGAAGAGAAGAAGAGAAAGAGAAGAGAAGAGAAGAGAAGAGAAGAGAAGAGAAGAGAAGAGAAATATTTGGCTAAATGTGGTTAGACACAAGAAATTTGTCACTGTACAGAAGCACTCAGTGTTCTTACAAACAACAAAGAGTGGCTATACTCAGAACAATTTATATTCTGCAACAATATATGTAACACCATCAAACATCCACAGCTACCTATCCCAGGTCCTTGGAAAGGACTCGATAGGTAGGAAAAAAATCCAACTTCAGTCTGAACATCTGGCCGACTGTGCAACAAACCATAATACTAAAGTGCAACAATAGAAGGGAGAAATAAGAGGTAATAAAAGGATAAATAATACTACAGCCACACACTGTGGATTAATAACACATTAGACAGAACTAGTAGTCACTGTGTTTTGTCAACTGTGAGAATTAGAATTATGGCACAAGGGGAAAAAACTGTCCCTGTGTCTAGTTGTCTAGTTGTCTTGGCATACAATACCCTATAGTGCCGTCCCAAGGGAAGAAGTTGAAATGGTTTGTGTCCAGCATGTGAGGGGTCTGCAGCAGTAGTGGGTTTCAATTTCGGTCACTACCGGTTCATTCATGGGCGTGCGCATGCTCGCGCACGATGCTTCTGTGCATGAGCAGAGATGTCCAGGTGGGTGGGCGGAGCCTGCCCCCACCGCCACTACCAGTTTGCCCAATCCAGGGTGAACCGGTAGCAACCCACCACTGGTCTGCAGATATCTTCTCATCCCTCCTTCTGACTTTTCATCCCTCCTTCTGCGCCAACTCAGAAAGCTCAAACTGCCCAAGGAGCTGCTGATACAGTTCTACAGAGGAATTATTGAGTCTGTCATCTGCACCTCTATGACTGTCTGGTTTGGTTCTGCAACCCAACAAGACAGACACAGACTTCAGAGGATAATTAGAACTACAGAAAAAACAATTACTACCAACCTGCCTTCCATTAAGGACCTGTCAAAAAGAGAGCTGTGAAAATATTTACAGACCCCTCACATGCTGGACATAAACTGTTTCAACTCCTACCCTCAAAACGACACTATAGAGCACTGCACACCAAAACAATCAGACACAACAACAGTTTTTTCCCAAACGCCATCACTCTGCTAAACAAATAATTCCCTTAACATCACCAAACTAGTTACTAAGTCTGCAATACTATTAATCTTCTCATTGTTCCTATCACCCATCTCCTCCCACTTATGACTGTATGACTGTAACCTTTTTGCTGGTATCCTTACAATTTATATTGACTGTTTCCCTATGACTATCATTAAGTGTTGTACCTTATGATTCTTGACGGATGTATCTTTTCTTTTATGTACACCGAGAGCATATGCATCAAGACAAATTCCTTGTGTGTCCAATCACACTTGGCCAATAAAGAATTCTATTCTATTAAAAAAAAAAAACTTAAATGTAATTTACATGTATTTATATTCAAGTAAATTAAACATCGTTAATATGATTACTCATTAAATTTCCCTTTCTGTCACAAATTGATTGCAACTTTTAGAGAGAATCAGTGGAGCATTAGAGCAATGTGCCATTGAAGGGGAGAGATTCCAAATATGCTGAAAGGCAATTGCTTCTTTAATATTTGGTCCAAAGCAAGTACGGATAAATTAAGGACTACAGATTGTGAAGTACTGAGAAATAGACACTTAGCCAATCCAGCAGGAAGTCTAAAGCACGGAACAATAATGCTCAATTTGCATCGGTAATTATGCCAACCAGAACCAAGGGGTGGAATTTCTTCTCAACTAATTAATTTAGAATTAAAGAGAGCAATTGTGAAGCCATCGTCTTTTCTCAGTTCTGAAGTCAGGCAGTAGTGACCAGAAGCTTATGTTAAGTATTTGCCTTCCTTCCGAGAAATTATGAACCAATATTCATTTTGCCTAAGCAATCCCTGGCACCAAAGTGTGTGAATCAGCAATTGTGATGGAACCATTTTGTGTTGGCACTTCAGGCCTAGAATGTTTATTTCACTTAGAATGCTGACACTGCTGTCTGCTAACAAGGTTCTGCAAAGAGACACAGCTGGAATGCCATTAAGGAGTATTGGCTGGATATATATATATATATATATATATATATATATATATATATATATATAGAGAGAGAGAGAGAGAGAGAGAGAGAGAGAGAGAGAGAGAGAGAGAGAGAAATCACGGGAGGGGGGGGCACACATTTTTCCCTCTCAAAAGAATTGGAAGGCATTGAAGTATTCCCGTCACCAGCTAAAACATGAAAGAAAAATTGGCAAGCCCCCTTTCTTTAAAACAAAACAAAAAACTTTCCCTAGATTTGCATTCTTGGCAACTGACATAGAACCTGATATATATCTCCAGGCTGGGAAGGTATGGCCTAAGGGTTGTCTATCAAATTTGAATGGCGTCTGCATATTCCTGCGTGCCAGCATATCGAAACATGGATGATATGGAAGGGCAATGAATAATTTAGAGGCTTGGGGTGGGATTGATCTGACTAATTTTCAGTTGCCAAAATAGAGTGGATATAAAAAGTCTACACACCCCTGTTGAATTGCCAGGTTTCTGAGATGTAAAAAATATCCGGCCAAGATAAATCACTTCAGAATTTTTTTTCTATCTTTTAGGTAATATATGCAGTAAGTTCCCGCTCTTTGGTGAAACGAAGTCTTGAAAAATGGAAGAAGTACCCTGAAAAGGAATCGTATTTACAAACATTAAAGGACATTGATTGATTTTGCCCTAGGGTTAAGAAGAAAGGATAATCTGTAAATGAGTTTAAAACAGGTTGATTCATTTGAATTTGTAGCCAGTGGAGTTTTTGCAGGGTGTTCTATTGCTTGTTCGTTATTGATCTGCTTGTTTGTTTGATTGATTTATATCTGAACCTTTTCTCCTGAAGGTAGATTACAGTGAGATTTGTCTTCATTTTATCCCCATAACAGCAACCCTGAAATGCAGATGGGGTTGAGGAAGATACAAACTGGGCCAAAATCATCTAGCCAGGTTCTATGACTGAGGGTGAGATTCGAACCTGATTGGAGAATGCTGGGAGTTGAAGTTCACACGTCTTAAAGTTGCCAAGGTAAGAGATAAACACTCAACCATTCCATCAGAGAAATATTTAAAATGTAGTGATACACAAAATACTGTGGCAGCCAAGTTCATTTCTGGATTCCCTCACCTGGGAGAGAAAGGAAGAAGAATCCAGAATAGTTCCATGTCAATGATTAGCACTAAGCCTCAGTTGAGTTTATTTCTAGAACCTGGGTAAAAGGAGAAAATGTATTGCCAAGACCTCATCTGCATATATATGCATTGCAATAGTCAAGATAGAATAGGCCGGTAAGTGGAGAAAGTACCGAGCCTTGTGGGACACTGCAAAGCAAGAGACCAGGACCAGACCCAGTGGTGGGATTCTACCAGTTCGGACCAGTTCGGTAGAACCGTTTTCTCCGACTTTCAGCCATGAGTGAACCTGTTCTCTTTTTCTTTGAACTGGGCCTGCCCACCCACCCCTGCGTTATACTCAGTGGTGAAATTCAATTTTTTTTACTACCGGTTCTGTGGGAGTGGTGTGGTGTGGTGGGCGTGGTGTGGCTTGGTGGGCGTGGCAGGGGAAGGATTCTGCAAAAATCTCATTTCCACCCATTCCAGAGGAAGGATACTGTAAAATCTCCATTCCCACCCCACTCTGGGGCCAGCAAGAGGTGGTATTTGCTGTTTCTCCAAACTACTCAAAATTTCCGCTATCGATTCTCCAGAACCTGTCAGAACCTGCTGGATTTCACCCCTGGTTATACTTACCTATATTTCTGCTTCCGAAGCCCAGCTGACAGGGGAAGCAGAGTGGATTGCGGCTCCTCAGCTGTTTTCCTTTCTCTCAGCAACGTGGAAGTTCAATTTTCTGCAAAATGTGCACACGCGCACAGCACGTGTCTGGCACAGGCAAGCTCAGGGAAACTGAGCTTTGTTAAACCAGTAGGATCCCACCCCTGGCCAGACCTCTCACTTCTTCTCAACAGTGGAAGTGACCATAGAAGAAGGAATCAGCCAGGACAACATAGTGCCTCCTCACTCCAAATCCCCAAAGCCACTCCGGGATACGACAGTTAGTAGTATCAAAAGCCACCAAGAGATCAAGGAGAATGAGGATGGGCACACTATCCCCATCCCACTCTCACCAGAGATCATAAAAAAGCATGATCAATGCCACACTTTATATTTATATTATATATTATATTATATTTATATTTATATTATATTTGTTTTTGTATTAGGATTTTATCCTTGTTTTAAAAAAAGTAGTCCCTGAGAGTGAATTGGGTGGCCATATAAATTTTCTAAAATAATAAAATAAAATAATAATAATACTAACATAACATAAAAAATAAATACCAGTATAATAAAATAAATATACCTTTATTGACAACATAAATGACAATGATGTGATAGACCGTCATTTCTTTTTGTTTCTTCTAAGACAAGACTCCTAATGTTTTCCTCTCCAGATTTCTTAGAACTCAGTTTCCAGTTTTGCTGCCAGGAAATAGGGGGTAGATATTCTTGGTCCAAACCATTGAGGAAAACTCTTCCTTGGCCTCCTAGAGGAAAACATGAGATTAAGAAGGAATGCTGTATTTTCCTTTCAAAATGTATGTTTGCTGTAGAGAGGGTTGTTTGTTAACTTCTACCTCAGGCACATCTGCCCTCAGTGTGGAAGGGATTGCCACTCCCAAACTGGCCTTTTTTGTCAGACCAAATGCTGTTTTAGGACCTCTTTCCAGAGCATGATACCACAGTCTTTTGAGACTGAAGGTTGCCAATGCACCTCAATGCACCTTTGCCAGCATTAAGTAGCTTAATTTACAGTAGATTCTTGCAAAATTTTCCTTATGTCTCAAAGTCATTGTATAAATAAGGTGGAACATCATTCTGGCTGGTTGCCCATTGTCCTGTTCAGATACTGAGAAAGTCCTATGAGATGAACGATCTCTACTTGTATAGAGTTTCAGTTTAAAAGGACGTACCGTACATGTGTAGAATTTATCATATGTGGCCATATTCTAGATGAAAGTCAGTTCCAATAGCAAGATTATACAACTATTAAATTGATAACGATGTAACTCAGGGGGTTGTAACTGGAAGCAATTTCAACAGACCTGGATCTATGGACAAAGACATTTCCTCGCATGGCAGGGAATACTGCTTAAGAAAGATTGGTATATCACTGTCTCACGCATGAAGGGCCAAGTGATTCTTCACTCATCCCTCATCTTAGCTCCTGGGACCATATCATAGTCAGCATAATTAAGTAAATCTAAATGCTGAAATTTGGCATATCAGCATTAAGGGTTGCAAAACAACAAACTTGCCAAGCATATAAAAATGGATCATGTTGCTAATATATCCTGTTTTTTTATATCCGTGACATGCTGTTCCAGTCTTGAATTTTGTTTGGAGAAATATAGGGAAGCTTCTATGGGATCATTACTTCATTAAAAAAAAAAAAAAAAAAAACCTCTTACCATAGATGTGCAGATAATACACATATTTCCAGGGGTGGGCTTCAAAATTTTTAGCAAGGAGTTCTCTGCCCAGTTGCTGGGTGGGCATGGCCATGGTGGGCGTGGCCTAGTCAGCCTTCTGCACCACGGGGGGGGGGGGGCATTTTTGCCCTCCTGGAGGCTTTCCTCAAGCCTTTGGGAGGGCGAAAACGGCCTCCTCAGGCTCCAGAGGCCTTCTGAAACAGGCCAGTTTCCGGCCTTCCCAAACTTCCAGTAGGCCCATTTTTTGCCCTCCCCGAGCCTCTGTGCATGCCCTCCACTTACCTGCATCTAAAATGGGCTGCGTGGGGACTCCTGGGAGGGGAGGGGTGGGCGGAGCCAGCCAGGAGTAGGATTTGGGGGTTCTCTGAACTGCACAGAATCTTAGCTAGAGGTTCTCCCGAACCCCTACGAACCCCCAGCAGCCCACCCCCTGCATCTTTCCCTATCTATTCCCCACACCTAGTACAGTAAATGTGATTTTTGTGGCCCAATTATCAGAGTAAGGCATAAGTATCTCAAACAGCTAGAAGCTGTACAACAAACAAACAACTACACTTGAAACCACCCACCTTCATGTGCTGATAAAGGCATAAAGCAAATGAAACATACAGAGAAAGAAAGAGAGAGAGAGAGAGAAAGAGAAAGAAGGAGGGAGGGAGGGAGAGAAAGAGAGAGAGAGAGAGATGGATGGATGGAAGGATGGATGGATGGATGGATGGATGGATAGTGTGTGGTATGGTGTGTAATAAATATGTAGGGTGTCCGGCCTACAGCTGCCAGCCCAATTCACTTTGAGTGACTATTACCCCCAAAGGCTTCCCCAAGAGATAAT